GTGTATAGTGTTAAACCAACGTAAGTGACGTGTATTTTTAGGTAAAACAGTTTTCGTTTCTTTATTTTTTCTTTGTGAAATAAAAAATGCCGCAACATTGTTTTGTGCCTGTGCCTTGTAGCAGCAATTATAATAAGTACTCAGGATCTGTCTACATTCTCTTTCCCAATAATATTAACTGTAACTGGGACACGTCCAAAACCTACAGAAGATGCTGTGCCTACAATTTTTCCAAATCAACCCTCTTATATGACTGTGCATGTTCCCAAACATCCCGATGAAAGAAAAGATTTGGAAATTCAGGATGAAATAAATATTGAAAATTATTATTATTATTATGAAATGGCAATATATTTTAAATAAATTAAATTAATTGTACTTTATTTCAGTATTTTATAAAAAAAATGATATCTTTATCTTTTTATTTACGATATATGGAGATGGTTACTTGATGAACATCGAACTACAAATTACTTAATGATAATAGTTAATTCTACCTGATATATCCCACATTTTCTAAATATGTTAATTTTTTACAATTATTTTTAATAACTTTAAAATGTATTCTGCCCTTATCATATACAATACATTTTCTTAACTTGTCGATAAAGTATAGTTTTCAAATTTTTTGAGCTACTAGTTGCTAAATACTCGCTGACGCAATTTTAGGACATGCTTTTTATTATCTGGATTTTATTCTGTTCATCTAATGCTGTTTTTTATTTCATAATAATATCCGTGTTTTAGATCTAAATTTTAATGCTTTTCAATTGCTTTAACGCGATAAAAAGTTAATGTTATTTTTTAATACCTTTGTGTATAATATTTTTCATATTTATATCTGGCAAAACTATCAATCAATACTATTATTTATGCAAAAACTATATGCAGTACCATATGACACAATACAAAAGCCCGACTATTGCGGTGACGTCACAAATCGATGTCTCTGGCCTGTATCTCATGTTGGTTATGATTAAAGCTGCAAAAATTAGTTTAAACCGAATTTTATTATCGCTATGTTGGTCACGTTGCGCCATGTTCAGCAATGTTCTCCTTTATTATTTGACAATTATCCTAGTGCCAGTCAATATTTTGTATAATATCGTGTTGTTGTTGAATCTTTGTGAGTGATTCTTGTTTTATTGCCTGTTTTCGTAGTCTTTTTTTTTAAATTGTACTTTTAAGCACAAACAGTTATTTAGAGAACTAAATTTTCGAGTTTTTGTATTAACCAAACCAAACCGTCGAAAATACTATATTTTGTTACAACTTCTAAGTTTTAGGTGTAAATAACAGGAAATCGATATCAAATCAAAAACACAAAAATAAATTTAATTAATAAATTAATCAATATCCCACGCCAAGAACATTTTTACATTTATGATAAATATTTACTCTTGAAATTCAGATAAGAATTTTATCGACTCATGATAATGTTTATTATTAGAAACCCAAACTAGCAGCATGAGTATCGCCTTCACTTAAATAAATTACTTTCCTGATTTAATAAAATAACTCTTAAAGGATGTAAATATTTAAATGAAGACGTCAAGATGTTCGGTATAGTAAAATGTTCGTTCCAAGGTGACAGTTCGCAAATTGTTCTAAACGGGCATGCATGCCTTCAAGCCAGCTATTATCTGATCACCTTGACTGTAGCTGGAACAGCTGATATTTACTTCAAGTTTGTGTTTTTGAAGCCTGTCAATTAAGATAACTTTACAACAATATATTGAATATAAACAGATTTTTTTATGACTTGTTATCAATTTTATTAATCTAGTGAATTATAAGGTTCATTAAAACATTTGTAATTTGTATATTTATTTCTACAAATAAATAAACCTAAAAACTATACTAATTTGCTAACTCTTATAACTTTTTTATTTTTTTCAGATAAAAAAAATAATACTTGGTATGTCGTATATACCGGGTGTTGCATCGTCGGACGGGACATAGAATACCAAACTTCCTAATTTTCCCTAGCGGCATATGTAAAGCAGGTAAAATATGATTTTCGAGTAGTAGTTCCAAATAATATTCTGCATTTAAATTTCGCGTAAGAAATAATGGCCCGATAATATTGTGTCCGAATATCCCTGCCCAGACATTTACTTTCTGTGGACATTGCGTCCTTGTTTCGACAAACCTGTGTTGGTTTTCTTTGTTCCAATATCGATAATTTTGAACATTGGGTTCATTATTTAAGGTAAGCGTGCATTCGTCAGTGAAACATATGTTTTTTAAAAATTCCCTATCCGTGTTTGCTCTTTCCATCATATAAAAACAAAACGCCTGCCGCCGTATTTCGTCCCCATCTCGTAGCTCTTGGTGCTTTTCATATTTGAAGGAATAGTATTTATGTCTTGTCTATTCCTATTTCATCCTCAAGTTTCCTTGTGCTGATCTTTCCATCGTTCTCTTCCACGCACAATAAAACTTCCAAGTCGGTATCATTTCTTGCATCTTCTTTTGTTCCTGCCTTGCTTGACATCTGCAGTTATTTATTAGGGTACCTTTGGTCTGAAATCTCTGGATATTCCTTGCGATTGTAGATTTTCCAGGTATCGGTCTATTCGGATACAGAGCAGCAAACATGTCCGACACCTTTTGATAACTATTTCCTTGATAATACCATTTAATCATCAATACTTTTTCTTCGGTAGTGTAATTCATGGCTAATATTTTCGATGTAGGTATGAGTTTTTAATAATAATAATAAATCACTAAATAGATAAATTTCTGAAATGACAACTTCATTTGACAGTTATCTTTTACCTTGACTGGTGCTCATAAGTAAATACAGGGCCATAAGAAAGGAGAAATATTTAAAAAGAAATCGGGCGATAACTCGTAAACGGGCTAATCAAAAATATCTAAAGTTATTCTTTTGCATGTGGGTTTTAGTGCTCTTCAATAAACCTAAATAGAATTATTCTCTAAAATAATTAGGGAAGCCAATAATTGACCCTATTAAAATTTTCATGGGATTTCCTATGTCCCGCTCGACGATGCAATACCCGGTATAAGACATAAATCAGGATCTATGGGCGTTTTCAATTATTTCCGGTCATTTCCTGTTTCACCGGAAATGACTACAACTTGTGATTTGTAAATCACACCCTCGGTAAATCACACCTTTAGGTTGATAGAAAATTATATTCTGAACAGAACACATATCACAGGTCAACTTTTGACACTTTCTCTTAAATAAAATTGTATTCTAAATTTCAATCTAAAGTGTCACGACAATAAATATAACGACAATTTGACTCGAAACACCAAATAAGTGGTACCAAATTATTCGTAAAAATTGTTTTTTCCAAATATGCTATTGAAAAAAAATGAGATATGATTAAAAATATGGTTTGGCCATCAGGTGGAAGACACGAAAAACATTAGACGATCAAATCTATTTTTTCAAGGCTCCTTGATTAAAAATTAGTGGTTTTAGCACAACCATGGCATTCCCGATTGAATTTGAAATACTTTTTTTTATTGAAAATGTTAAAAGTTGACATATGTTATGTCATTCTATTCAGAATGTTAGTTTCTATCAAATAAGGTAAACAAATATACCCAGGGTACCATTTCAAAATAAATAGTTGTAGTTATTTGTGGTGAAACTGGAAATGACCGAAACTAATTGAATACGTCAATCAATCCCGATTTATGTCATTTACTAACATACGTAATCTCGTTTTTATGTGAAAAAATAAAAAGTTATAGTGGTGAGCCACTTTTGAAATACCCGCCGTATAGCAACTTATTCATTAAAAACACAGAGTCCATGTTTAGCACACTCTGATTTTAGTAACTGTATTTGTGGTATAAACCCTAACATAACCAATTTAGGTTTAATGTTGATTACAGGTCTCATAAATTGAAAATCGTACCTTTATTTCTAAAAGTTAGCATCTCAAAATTAATTATAAAACATCTAAATATTTCGTTTAGTTTTGTATTATTGTTAAATAATAGAAATATTTAATATTTAAAACAAAATATGCAAATAACAAATATGTTTTATAAAATAGTAAAGTAATAAAATACATGAATACATGAAATTTATATTGGTTGAATTACGCCAAAAAAAAGAAAGCAACATGTTCATTTTTTTATACTTATAGGATGAGATACCTATAAATTGCAAAACAAATCTATAAAACAAATCTTCTATTCTAACACGTCCCAGAACTAGATTAACTTTTAAACTAAAAATAAAGAAAACGACTACAAAACGTCATTTTTTTGTGCTAAGTGAAAGTTAAAACTTTGTTAACAGCATGTTAAATATTTAAACAAATATCAATCTCCCATAATAATTCCAATTTAAACGCTCTTTTGTGGTCATGTTAAATTTGAATTAAAATTGAATATTTTAAAATTAAATGGTTAATTAAAGCCGTTTCGTTCAAACCTTTTTAATTGTTTATGAAATAAATAAATATATAATAAATATATAGTTAGTTATAGAAATAAATAAATATATAAGCTAGCAAGTACAAATAGCATATCAACAATGTCAATGCATCCAGTAAACAAAATATAAGTTCCATCATAAGGCATCATCATTTTCAGCTTATTCACCCATTTCCAATTATGGTCATTTCCTCCCTCACATACTCTCTTTGTAATTGGGCCCATTGTTATCTATTGTTGGCTATGCAGGCCCAAGTCATTGGGAATTTTTGCTTGAAAAAAAGTCCGGAAGTTTTCGAGATATTTACAAAATACCGATTTTGGGCGCCATCTTGACAAGATGGCGGCGCCGGGGCAAGTCTGGAAATGTGCATTTTACGGATTTTAGTTAGGGACCCCAAAACCTATAAACCTGCAAAGTTTCAAAACTTCCAGACTTTTTTCCAAGCAGGCCCCTTTTTTGATCCCCAATAACTGAACTAAATTGGGTATTTCCGTTATTGGCAGGGTATTATCGTAAATTTCCCATTTTCCTCATCGTCCGTAACATTTATATGATAGAAACTTGACAGTACCTTGATGGGCTCCTTGAAGAGAGGGCTCTGGGCAGGGCCATCGTGATCCACAGCTGAGGAAGACATTTGCGCCGCCCGCGCTTGACGCTCCCATTCACGGGCACGGAAACGCTCCTCCCTGCAAAGGAAAAAACATCAATTAAGCAAAAATTAGTTAAATTCTTATGATTATACAGGGTCGACACAAAATACTGTAGCCAAATGATTAAATTTCTAGGAATTGTGAATGATGGAATCGCTGGAGGACTACAAAGCTACAATTTAAAATTATTTTCAAAATACTACCAAATAAATAAAAAATACTAAAGTTGTATTTTTTTAAATGGAATCCCCTGTATATTACTACATTTTTAGTTTCTACGATTATAATAAAAGTAAATTTGGTTAAGATTTGCCGCATTTTAAATTTTAATGTTACCGCTGTTTGAAATATTTACGATTTTGTGAAAATGCAATATCAATTTTAATGCTTCATTTCTCTAGAGGTATTTAAGTTTTTAAAACCAAATAGTGTTCTAAAGTTTTTCTAATTACTAAGTTTTGTGTTGCAATAATGAAAATTATAGTACCTTATACAGAGTGTCTAAAAATTTATATTAAATAGTTACTAGCTTTAAATGACCATAACTTGTTTAATTTAAATGGATACCCTGTATATTTTACTTGAAACAGATGCACAATTTAATTGTCTATCAAAAATTGTATTATACCATTTTTATACGTCTTCAAGTTTTCGTAGAAATATATATGTATATATACAGGGTGTTTCAAAAAACATGTGCCATCTCTCGTGGAGAGATTCCTCACGTAAAAATAAGATTTATTTTTCATATCAACATAGGTCCGATTCTGCTTTGTTTCGCAGCTACAGGGTGTTAAAATCTTAATAATCTTTCGATTTATTATCATTTTAGTATTTTTAGTGATTGAAAAAACGAATGAAATTTTGAGTAAAAGTTACTATAAGTGTTACAGATTTTAACCCTAAAAAAGTGTCGATAAATTCATCAGGTACGTGCATATGTGCTATCACTGACTTTCTTTGTTTTGATATCAAAATTATGTAGGCTGTTTAACGCCAATTAAAAGTTATCTCTTGGTATTTTGTCGAATTCGGCCTCCTTGACGAGATAAACGCAATTTGATTACGTCATTCTATTCAGAATGTCATTTTCTATCAAATAAATTAAAAAATACCAAGGATACCAAAAATTTATTGAAAATTATTAAAAATCAAAAGTTGTATTAGTTTCCGGTGAAACAGGAAGTGAGCGAAACTAATTGATTACGTCAATCAATCCTGATGTATGTTGTATACTAACATACCAAATGTCGTTATTTTATCTGAAAAAAAAATACAAAAGTTATAGGGATAAGCAACTTTTGAAAAACACCCGGTATTATAGTTAACTAAACCAAACTAAACAGAACAAATCTTAATATTCAAATTTTTTATTTAACTACTACTAAATAAATTCCAGAGTCTCTATATAATTTCTAAAAAAAGAATAAAATATTATGTGATTGAAAAACGATTATTATCAGAAATTAAAGTCATACAACGTAATAATGAAATAAAACAATACTTTAAACGCTTGTTGCATAATAAAAAGATAATAATTTATGACGCTGATATAATGAAATTTGCAATTGCCCCTTTGTTGCTTCACCATTTAATACAGGCTTTTTAAAAAAATACTTTAAGAATTTTACAAGTTTAAAGGCTACAGCAGAATGTCATATACTGAAAGAACGAAAAAATGGTTTAGTAACCTTAGAAATGTTGATCAATGATATAGTTTTCTAATCTAAGGTAATTTGGAGTCTTGGAGAATTTGAACTCCTCCAAATAAGGTCCTATTTAAAGTTATTAACAACTAAATTTTAAACTAACTTGAAAACCAAACAATGCCTTCGACCCCCGTGACAAATTTGAGGTTATAATAAAGTAACATTTGACCTACTTCAAGTCCCTGTAGTCTTAATGCCCTCAATAGGTTATCAGTAACTAGATTTTAACAATGCCAACTAACTCCAACGTTGCTACTTTTCAAAGGCATAATTTTAGGTTATTATTAACTAGTTTACGACCTCATTTTTAGATTTCTCGCACTTTATTCCCTACAACAAATTTATTAAATATATAAGTAATAATATATAAGTTAAATATAAGTAAAATTCAACCAAATAGTGGTTAGTTTTCTGTGGTCAATGTTTTTTTCTCCTTCCTATGCTACTTGGGTAATACCTTCGCAGTTTACTCTAAAATGCTTCAATAGGCCACAAAATTACATTCGCAACAAAATCGCAAATCGCAACTCTTAAAAATTCAAACTCGCAGATAGAATTTAAAGAAGGCGTCCATTCTTCTCAAGGAGACCTAGTTTAAATTAAAAAGAAGAAGAAAAAACACTTAAGTCTCGGTGTCAACGTTTACATTAATCTAAACAGTGACACGTGTTTCGCTCATACGAGAATCATCAGACGAAATACAATTAAAGTCAATCCACACACACGTTCACGTTTTACACATTTAAACAACCAAAGCAGATAGAAGGTTATCACGGTCTTGGTTTACAAAATCAAATCGCAACCATAGTAATAGCTGGGGTAATAGTGTTTGCCTAAATTGAAACTCGCAAGTAGAAAAAATCGCAAATCCCAACTATAGTAATATTGGTTGTCTAAATTGAAACTCGTAACTAGGAAAAATCGCAGTCGCAGTTTACTGTGAGAGTTAATCGCAGGTTGCGATTGCGATTTTAAAAGCGCTGCGATTGAATCGGAGTTTGCAATTTGTTGATCATATCTAGAAATCATTATCGGTGCTATTTTAGTGGGGTAAAGTTTACCTGTTTTTATGGTATGTTTAAATTTAGGACCCACGGAATTCGTAACAGTATAGTCTCGAAAAATGTATAGTATTTCCAAATTATTTTTTAAATCTTCAGTGAAATAAGTGGAATTATTAAGTTTAGTAATAGCTAACATGCTATCAATTGTTTTTATTTTACTGGGAAGTTTATACCGAGGTTTATACTTAAAATTAGTACTTATATGCTACTCTTAAAGTGGGCTCCCATAGATTAACTCTCAGACTAGTGGACTTTATCCAAGTACCTGTTGAATGATCGCTCTTGAGATGAAAAAGGGCATTAGTGTTCTTTGTTAGAAAAAATCTCAATTCTTTCAAATAAAATCTAAAAAATTAAAGCAAAAAAAATTGGATTAAATAATACTACATTGTCACAGTCATGTTGATGGTTTATTTATAATTTATATTCGTTTTTCAAAATTGAATTTAAAAAAAAAATAATCTCTGATTAAAGATATCACATTACAATTAATTTTATAAATAATTTGGCGCATTTTATGATCGTTTCAAGTTCCAATTTCGGATTTCCATATGCTTTACTTATTTTAACTTAACACAGCTTTTCGGTCAGATGTATTACTGTCCGAAACGTTGTGTAAGATAAAATATTATATTTAAGAATAATTCAAACTCAGAGAACCTACGATATATTAGAAAATTTATTAACAAATGTAGCAAATGTATTAGTACAGCCACACAAACAGGTAGATAAACATTTTCACCCTGGACATGAAATCCAGTAAATTAGATAGGGTGTTAAATGCTTTACCTATAAGCACTTTGTAAATCAGGCAGACACAAGATCTTACATGTGTTACGCACGGTAAGCACACATGGACGATACACATATCTATTAAGCTAACAGCTGTCGCTATACCGGGTGCGTGCGTCTCAAAAGTGGCTCACCCCTATATATATAACTTTTTTATTTTTTCAGATAAAAAACGAGATTTAGTAAGTTAGTATACGATATAAATTAGGATTGATTGACGTATTCAATTGTTTTTAGTTACTTAGTTACTTCCTGTTTTACCGGAAATGACTGCGACTTTTGATTTTTAAATGGCACCCTCGGTATTTTTTTTACTTTATTCGATAGAAAATGACATTCTAAATAGAATGACATATCATATGTCAACTTTTGACATATGCGCTCAAAAACAAATTGAATTTTAAATAATTTCAATCTAGAGAAAAACATTAGACGATCAAATCTATTTTTCCAAAGCTCTTTGGTTAAAAATCAGTGTTTTTAACACCCATGACACACTAAATTGAAATTTAAAATATGATTTTTTTAAAGCGAAGATGTAAAATGTTGACATATGTTATATCAATCTATTCAGAGTGTCATTTTCTATCGAATAACGTAAAAATATACTGAGGGTGGCATTTAAAAATCAAAAGTTGTCATTTCTGGTGAAACAGGAAGTGACCAAAAACAATTGAATACGTCATATAACATACCAAATCTCGTTTTTTTTACCTCAGAAAATAAAAAAGTTATAGGGGTGAACCACTTCTGAGACGCACCCGGTATAATTTTATAGTATAGTAACAGTCAAATTTAAAATGTACGCAAATAAACTGAAGTAAATAGAATAATTTTTATTTTTGTTTTGTTTTGCTCATTTTAATACTACAAATAAGTGTAGTTTACTAGCTATGTATTAGAGTTCAGTACTGGGAATTCACCGGTTCTTTTGAGACATCAAAGAACCGGGACTCAAAATTATTAATTCCCGGTTCTTTCGGTACTTTCGGGACTCGATAATAACAATTAAAAACATATTTTTGTTACGTGCGAAGTACGAAAGACTTTTGATACTTTCAAACGGTCGAAATCAAACTCTTCTAAATAAGAAGGCAACGGCCTAGCTACGTTGAAACACCGGTTCCCATTAGAACACCGAAGTTAAGCGACGTAAGGCGATACTGGTGGATGGACGGGTGACCGGTCCGAAACTCTGTATCGTGCTGTGTGCTGTTGTCCAAGGAAAAAGTGTAAAATCTATTGAAAGTAGATCATTCATTGCCGGCTCATTCACGCCGGCGCCAGTTCGAGGCCGGATGAGATCGGATATCTCGTGAGTAAGAGTTAATTTAGACACTTCCTAAGTCGGTAGGTCACTGACCATGATATGGCCGAGGACCGCGGTTCGGATTCCGCGTAAACAAAGTAGGCTCCGTCCAGATTAGCCCTGGCAGCAAAAAGGAGACGTTAACTGAAATCTTTACTTTTC